CACCATTGTTGAAATCCATTACATATACTGAATATTTATTCTGCTCTTGTTGCAAGTGTGTTTATCTCCATTGCCAATGTAAATATTTTTGTAACATGCAAAGATGTATTTATAAATTCTGTATTATTGATTTTTCTTATACTGCAAACACATTTATCTCTTTGTTAATGAACATATATCAAGGAAATAGAAAGATTGACTTATGGAGAAAGGTGTGGGAAGGAAAGGAGGTGGTACCAAGCTGGGGAGAATATCCTTGGCCACAGCTGAAGGATGCATGGTGGGTCTTCCCTGGAGGTGCATGTTTAATTAGACGACAGTGTTCTCAGAGGCAAGGGATGCTTACAAAGTCCTTTTGCAAGACAATCTGATGTGCTCAAAGGTATCAGCTATGCTTTTAGCTTGTGGAAATTTCAAAAATCGGTAATCCAGGTCAGGAGACACAGAGAAGCAGCTCGCATTGGTCTCAAACCCAGTTTTGGTAGGACACACTTAAGTAGAAATATTGATTTAAACATAAGATTGGAGGAGAGGGTAGGCTTTGTCAGGGGAGGATTCCAACACAAAATATTATCAAAAGGTGAAGTAAGAAGGTAGGCAGCAAACAGAAGTGAGGCTCAAGGGATACACAAGCTTGCACCATGGTATTTCATGAGCCAGTGCAGACTCTGGTGGGCAGCCTGGGTCTGATGCTTTTGAGGCCATTCTTCCTGAGCAGTTCCTTGCCTAGGAGTTCACTACTTTCCCGGGGTAGCCTCTGCTAGGCTGTTACTATGACGACCCACAAAGCAAAGGTCCAGATTGCCTGATAGAGGAGTTTTGGTGTCTCTATGCTCATCCTGGGTTCAGAATTCTGCAAGTCATCCCTTTAGGTATCCTGAGTGCCTGAAGTGTGTGCTGTTGACAAGGCAGCAAATTGTGGGCTGATGGGGGAGCATTTGCATGTACCTTGGCAACAAGATGGAAACAAGATGGGCCATAGGCTTCTCAATGGGGAGACAGATGGGCAGATGGGGAGATAGGCTCCAATCACATGAGCCTGGAAGCTTAGACATGCAGCTTGCCCATGCTTGCTTCCATCTGGGTATGACTACTCTGGCCTGTTACCCATGACTCCTTCACATGAGCCCAGTGCTCCAACCATCTGAACTACTGATAAGCAGTCTACTAGAAGGGCTACCATTTGTTAAACATTAACTGTGTACCAGGTATATGTCTGGGATCATTAATCTTCAACAACCCTGTGAGTTGGGTATGAGTTTTGAAATCTAAGGCCTCAGAGATTAAATGATTTGCCCCAGTCCATGGTTCTGGAGCTTGCATGCATCAGAATCACCTGGAGGGTTGTGGAAACATAAACTGCTGAGCACCACCCTCAGAATTTCTGACTCAGTATGTCTGGAGTGGGGCCCAAGGATTTGCATTTCTCATAAGGCCCGAGGTGCTGACACTGCAGCTCTGAGGATCACACTTTGAGAGCTACTGGTCTATGTCAAACAGTGAAGGCATTCAGAGGGAGCATCCACACCCAGGACTGCCAAATTCCATCACCTATGTCTTTTTAGCTGATGTGAATTGCTCCCTGGTTTGTGTCCCGAATAAGCCACCTGTTTTCATTACCCAAATGCCTTCTCAGGTAATACCTTCTCTTCTAGGAACATTCTACCCCTTGGTTCTCCATCTGGCTGCCTCTACCCGTTCTCTCTGACTCAGCTTAATGTTCCCTCTTCTAGGAAGCATTTCTTTAGCTCCTACCTGTGGGTTAGCTACTTTTCTGTGCTTCTGGGATCCCCTATACAGACCTGTATTTTAATGTCTCTCATATTGTTTGGTCGCTGTTGCTTTACTTCTCTGACAACTCACCCCTTGATGATGCCTGCCATGTATTCCTTGCTTGGTGTGCACTGTGCCTTACCTAGTAGACATTCAGGAACTGTTGGTGAAATAAATGGTTGAATGACATCAGCGAGTTGCATTGTGCATGTGAGGTTAATAGAGACCACACCTGTGATGGGCACGTCTCCTTCATCTCTCTGTGGTAGAGGTACCTGGACACTTCGTAGCAGTTGTTGCTGAAGAGACTGACTTCAGAAAAGTTCTAAATTGAGTGTGCTGCTAGCACAGCCTCCTCCAGGTGAAGCCTCCCTCACTTGCTTGAATGGGCGTCCTATCTGACTTCAGCATCTGTCTTCCGCTGACTGCCAGTGTTGGCTTGGCAGTCTGGATGCCTGGCTGTCCCCATTCTCCTTTATTCCTCCCTGTGTGTCCCCTCCAAAACTGTGTGCTGTGACAAGAGGATGACTTCCTCAGGGAGATGATGGCTTTTGTGGATGAATAGTTGGGTCCCTCTGTTCAACATCCCGAGTAGCCTTCCATAAGTTTATTCACCCTGGAATAAGATGATAGTGCCCCCTGTGCTGGGCATTAGTGAGCCTGGAAACCTTTGTTGAAAGATCAAGTACATGTCTGAGATGGGAGAGATTCCTCTGCACAAATTTGTGGCTATTAGAGGTGATGGATGAATGGAGGCTATGACCGTGGGTCTGAGCAGTAAGATTCAAAGAAGATGGGGGTGGCATTTTGGGGTGGGAGCAGTGAGGTCTACTGGAACAGAAATGAACATGAAGCCATAAACATTTGGGCTGCCTGCTTCTTATCCAGAGACATTCCCTGAGCCTCTGGACATGGGCACCTTCATGAATAATACCTAGAGGAGAGAGAAAATCTCCATTTCAAATGTGGGGATGAAACAGTTTGGAGATCCCTGGCAGTTACCCATTCGTTCCACACTCATGAAAACTGCAGCAATTTAGAGCAGCTCAGTATTTAGACTCAACTATGTAATTCATCCTGATGTTTCTCATTTATCAAAGCCTTGTATTTGTTTGTATTACCATGAGAAAAATTTTTTAAAATGTGGGAAAAAAAAGATTCCCCTCCTTTCATTACAGGCAGATTACGGCAGAGTTGCAACCCTTGGGGCCCTTCAGGCAAAGGAACATCTTGCTTCAATTAGATATAAATAATGAACAATAATTAGAAAGATTTCTTCATCGAATTTGTTATTTTATGTTTCCTTTCATCTTTAATGTATTGAAACGAATACTGAGCTCTGTTTCTGGGCCACATAGCAGGGACCTAAGGAGTGCTGTGGCATGTGTCTCCGAAGCAAGGGGAAACATCCACAGCTGGGCCTACTGTGTGCTGGCTGGGGAGGCTGCTGTCAGCATTGGTCCAGGGCCATGGGTGCAAAAAAGGGGCTCCTTCAGCTCCAGTCCTCAATTCATATAGTCCACTGGGGACCTGAATAATCACGGTAGTCAGGGACTGCTCTGAGAGCTGAACACAAATCCCATTTAATCCTCATAGCAATCCTCTGCCACAGGCTCTGCTTCTATCTCCATTATTAAAAGATTTGGAAACTGAGGCACAGATAAGTTAACTAAGTTTTCTGGACCACAGTGTTGGTTGTGGAGGGCAGACAGGCAAGATAGGTAATTGGACTCCAGAGCCCTTGCTTGTCTCTGCTCTGGCATGTAGCCTCTGAAGTCCTGGTGAGCTCGTGCTGCCACAGAAGCCCACAAGGTGTGGAGAGGGCACAGGGAGGCTGGGGTGGGGACAGCTCCCCAAGGAAAGGGGCAGCTGTTGGCTGCTGGATTTTCAACAGGCTTGTAGAGGTGTTGTTAGAGGAGGAAGATAAAGGGATTCCAGGCAGAGGGAGCACTGTGGCCTGGTGCCACGGATGGGAAGTGTGTGGGATTTCTCATTTCAAGGTTGGCTACGGTGCTGTGTGCAGGTGGGGAGAACAGCCAGAAATGAGACCAGAAGATGGAGGGTTGTGTAGATCCAGTTGAGAAGACTGGCTCTTCCTATGGAAACGGTGACTCAGAGAGAGGGAGGGATGATGATGTGGGTTGATAAAGAGGAGAGACTGAGATTTCTAGAAGAGAAATAAGTAAAGAGTGATCAGGTTGGAACCTGGAGAGAGAGGCTAGCTCCCCACTGGGCTTTTTTTACTTTGCTATTCTGTTTGGTACATGACATTCTCTCAACATGCTGAGCCAAGTACGCTCTTCTGAAGCAAGTGAAATCTTCATAGCGACTGGTCCTTCCTGCTGTGACTATTCGTCCTTCCCCAGAGGAATCTCCTCCTCTGCTCCTAGCTCAGAAGTCTGCTCTTGGGCTGCCAATGGCTGTTGTTTCGTGAAATCCCCCCTCTGATGTGCACCTGGCTGGAGCTACCTGCCACTCCTCTAAGGAGAGCAAACCCAAGGCCTTCAGAAGTGCTTTGTTTTTTTCATTATCTTTTAAATAATTGTCAACATTTTAAAATCAGGAGAGATATAAAAATCCAATTTACTTTATTTTTTCAAAAACCAAATTGGTTGGGGAGGTCATGGGGTGGGGAGCTTTCGAAGTCAATAATTGCCTAGACCCCTAGCACAGCTGCAAGCTTTGGAGGGGATGCCTCTTAATTTACCTTGAGTCAGTTGGTCTCTGAGTGCGTTTCTTCCCAATGCTGTCTCTGAGTGTCACAGGCCAGCCATCATTATCGTCCATAATGCCAACATAGGCCTCTTTCCTGCGCAGCCTCTGCAGGCATCTGAGTTGGAGATCCGCAGCAAACAGCCTCTCATGTTGCCCTGACTCTTTGATACTATGATTTTCTGTCTATATGTCTGCTTCTATAGCTGAACTATAAGCTCCTTAAAGGCAAGAATCATGTCTTATTCATCCTTTTATCCCTCCAGTTCAGTAAAGAACCTGGTTTTAGGCTCCCAGTCATCTTATTGAATTAATCAACACTGAGAAAACATACCTGTAATTGAATGAGGCCCTCTCCGGGCTGAGGGACTCAAACTTTGGGGGACTGGGAATGAAGAATGTGGATAGTGGGCCATGCTGGGCTTGGACTTCAGAAGAGCCTTGCAGCCCATTTGTAACCTTGCTGTGTGCAGTGCACAGCATGTACTCATGCCTCGCTGCCTTTCTGCGTTTCAGGACTTTCCAGGACTTGTCCAAACAAGTGGAGATGTCTTATGGCACCGTCCGGGATTCTGCTGTATATGAGTACTTCCGAGCCAAGGGCACCAACCCTCTGGAGCAGGACAGCACGTTTGCCGAACTCTGGCGGACCATCAGCAAGAACGGAGGGGCTGACAACTGTGTGTCCAGTCCTTCAGAAGGCATCAGGAAGGTAGGCGGGGAGCTGGTGCTTGGGCACGTGCACTGTGACAGGGCCATGGGGTGGTCATCCCCCAGGTGGGAGACACCTCCAGAGGCATCTGACTCTGAGCAGCCCTGTTACCTGCAGGGCAATCCATCACACACGTTCTTCAGGTGGATGCCCCTTCTGGGCAGCAGAAGTAGAGCAGCTGCTCCTTAGGGACCTTCCAAGTTTGCAGAGTGGTGCTGGCTGGGGAGGAGCAGGCAGATTAAGCCTGACCTTTGGCCCACCCTCCTCATGAGCTCATAGGAGGGTGGCACAGAGAGACCTGTCCACCTCAGGTGAGAACACTTGGCAAAAGCAGAAGCAGAGTACCAAGGAAGAGGTGCAGGAGTGAAGGGAGGGTGTTGGGGAGAGGGTGGCCCACTGTGGTTATCCTGGGGGTCTGGTTGGGGAAGTCTGCACACAGGGAAAGGGTCAGCCAGGTGGGCTGGGCTCATCTCTGGGGCCATACTGTGAGAAGAGGTGTGCCTCAGAGATGGGGATAAGGGCAGACAGCCTGGGACAGAGCCTTACCGGGCAAAGCCTTGGGAGGACAAGTGGGAAGATACCAGTGCCAGAGGGAAGAAGGGAGGAGAAAGCCCATGATGCTCTTCAGCACTGTTAGATGTTGCTCATTTGTTTCAGTCAATTTCCCACAATGACTCGAATTCAGCATTATTATCCTCTTATACAGCTGAGGATTGGATGGTTCTGACTCATGACTCCTTGGGTTCCAAGCTGGGGAATTGGCATTTATCCACTCATGTGCAGCTGTAGAGCCCTTGGAGGTCAATGAAGAAGAATGTGGTGGGATGAAGGCAGGTGTTATGATTTTGCTGCTGGTGGTGGGGTCCTCCTGTCCAGTCACCCCCACATGCGACAGCTACTGTCCTGAGGTCATTAGAGAATAGGGCCGGAGACATGTACAGCCCCCTGGTCAGCACTGCTGCCTCTCTGAGCAGACCGACTGCCTCAGTGTCTCCTCCTATCCTTTCTCTCCCAGACCCATCCTGCCACCTCTGTGGAGTCTCCTCATGTATACCCTCACAGGCGCACTCACACCTTACCCCCCCCACAACACACACACTCATCCCTGTGCTGCCCCCTAGCCACTCCAGTGACATCTTGGCCTTCCTGCAGAGAGTGGTGGATGTCAGGACAGCCTGGGGCAAGCTCTGGGGCCACTAAGGCCCACCACCCTGCCATTCATGGTCCTCAGCAATCTGCCAGCCCCTCCCTGATGTGCCCCAGAGGGGTCAAGGGAGAGAGGCCTGAGTCCCCCTTTGCTTTGGAAACACATGGGCATCAGACAGAGTGCAGCCTCTATCCCGTGACAGGCTGGGGCACCTAGCTGTGGTGCCATGTGGAGTGAGGCCCACTGGGAAGATGGTTGTGCTTAGGATGATTTGTACAGGATCCCATGCTCAGGATGACTTTTCCTTGCCATTTAGCCACATTGAACAGCAGAATGTGTCTAGGCTCTGGAGCTTGACACATTTAGGTGTGAATTCCAGTTTTGTAAGTTACCAACATTGTGAAATGGAGCACACCATTCTCCCTGTCTGGGAACTCTTGGAGTTGAGAAAGACCTGGGCAACTTTCCATTTGGGGGTCTCCTTAGAGACTTAAATGATCTGACAATACATATCATGATAAATTTTGAATGTTTAGATTTAACAAAGTGATACTTTGACAATAATAATAGAATGCAGTGTAACTGTGCTATTCTCATGCTTACAAGATTTATTAAAACCTCATAGTTCTCAGTTCACTGCAAAGGATGGTGCTCTAGCCTTAAGCTGCAGGGTCTTCTTTCATCCCTGACAGTGAATCTTTGTGGCTGTAGGTGACCTCATTTGAAGATAATGAACACAATGTTGATTTAAGGCCTTTTGTGCATGTGAGGCCTGGGCCAAATGGCCTTCGAGTTCCTTTTCCTGGCTTTCTTTGACTCTCAGAGAGAGCCAGTACTGTCATCCTCACAGGGTCTTATGAAGATTCATTGCATAATGCTCAAAAAAAAAAGCACTGCTTAGAAAAATAAAAAGATAGCTACTTTTGACTTTGTTAAAGTTCTGTTCATTACAAGTCACTTTAAGTAATATAAAAAGGCAAGTCACACACTGGGAGGGGATATTTACAATACATATAACCAATGCAAGATTACTATCAAGAATATATCAATAAGAAAAGCTCAAATAACTTAACAGGAAAATGGCAAGAGGCTTGCACAGGCTTGACACAGAAGAGGCAACACAAATGGCCAATAATCAAATGAAGAGATGTTCAAAATTATTAGTGATCTGTGAAATGCAAATCAAGACCATAAAGATTATATCATTTTACACCAATTAGTTTGGCATAAAATGAGAGGTGGTGAAGAAGACGTGGAGTAACAGTTGGTTAATTGCTGGTGGGGGTGTGCTCAGTACAATCGCTTTGGAGAAGAGCTTAGCATTCTCTTATAAAATGGGACACTTACATACCATATGGCCCAGCAGTTACACTCCAATGTATCGACCTAAAATAATGTCCACATACACTTTTGGAGACAAGAAAGGCCACGGTAGCACTTCCTGTAGAACCAAAACCCTGGAAACCATCCAAATGACCATTAACAATATAAAGAAAGATGCTGGCTACAATGAAATGGATGAATCTTAGCAGGACGATATTGAGTAAAATAAACCATTAAAGACAATTTCATACAGGTCAACTAATAGAAGGTAACACAGAATATTATGCCCTCTTAAAAATGTATAAAATATACACATGCACATCCAAAGCAATGATAAAATACAAGATTCACCACAGTGGTTGCTACAGGTGGGAGAGCCAAAGCAGCAGGGAAGAGAGAAGGACATTGTTGGTAAGGCAGGGTTGGTGTTAGGTTTAGATTAGCAGGAGATTTTAGAAAATTAGTTAATGAGTTAATTCAAAAAGACAGCCATTCCAGGAGAAATGTACGGGTATCCTGAAGCAAAAGTTGTCATTGACCTCATTCTGCTCACCTCCCTACTCTTCCAAATGCATGTCCAGACCAAGCAAGGCAATGCTGTACTCCTCACAAGTACCCACCCCTTCCCTCTTTGCAGGTGACATGTGCCTGCTTATGCCTCAGAAAGGCCAACAAACACCATCGAGCCCTCTGGATGGTGATAAACCTGGAGATGAGTCATTAGAGAAACACCTCATCATCATTCTAGCTACCCCTTGTCCATTGGTGGCACTTAGGAAACCACTCACCCTCTGGTGATATTTAGAGTCTTACTCATGAATACAACAATGTTAAAAAATCAGTAGCAAAGGATGCAAACAAAGGATTTTTTATCAATGCCTATCACTTCATGGTATAGAATTTAACTTTTTTAGTACATAGGATGGATTGTTTTTATGATACCTTCATTTTATGAACCCCAAGCTGGTTTTGAGATCACAAATCTCTCTCTTGCATTTGGATCTCTAAGAAAAAGAAACCAACTGCCAGCACTAGACAAATGTTACGGGTTTTATAACTAGTGTCATAAAAGTGAGTTTATAGTATTGTCAGACAATGAAGTGTGCTGCATTTTTTTTTTACTGGAGGAAAAGCTTACTCTCAAATCCTCCTTCTTCATGTGCCTGTTTGGATGACTACTGGACTTAAATGCTTGTCTGAAATTTGTCCTCTTCCCTACTTCTATGGAGTGGCCCCTGTGCTCCCTGCCCCCAGACTATGGCTTTAGTAAGCTTGTGAATCCCTGAGCCCGGAGCAGACCAGTCTGGAGATGTCTGGAGATGGCTGTTCCCTAAGTGAGGATGACAACTTGAATCCAGAAACTGCAGGACAAATCCAGCAAGTAGGGAATTATGGGCCTAGTATTCAGGGAGGAACAGCCTCTCCAAATCCCAAACAGAGTCTGCTGCCATGCAATGTGGGCAGCCTGGCAAAGGTGAGGAGTTGCCCACCGAGGGGCTTCTTCTGGAAGCTTCTTTAGCAATTGACAGACAATCACACTTCTAATTTTCAGTTGCTCTTTGGTGACTCAGCTCCATTTTCAGGAAGTGTTTGGTAGCGGAGCAATGTCTAATTGCTGCAAAAGTCAAGGAGGTTGGTACGGAGGGTGACCCTGGAGAGCTGCTGTTATTTTCTCCTTGGGAGTGCTAAGGCTTTTAATGACATGAAACCAATTTAGGTGGGGAATTGTTTAGAGTAATCATTTGTCCATGATATCAGAACTGGAGAAGGGTTATGTCATGGTTAGCTCACCTCTGGGACCCACTCCTTCATGCCAACACACACCATTGAGCCTCTGGAGGATAATAAACCTGGAGATGAGTCGTTAGAGAAACACCTCCTTATTGTTCTAGCTACTGCTTGTCCATTGGCGGCACTTAGGCAATCACTAACCCTATGGAGATAGAGTCTTATTCATGAATACAACAATGTTAAAAAATCAGTAGCAAAAGATGCAAATAAAGGATTTACCATGCCAGTGGCCACTAAGATAAGGACAAGTGAGATCTTGTCAGACTTTGATGAGGCAAATATGAAAATTTGGGACAGGAGGGAATTTTTATTTATTAAGAGACTACCACACACCATTTTCACAACAAACCTGCCTGGCACCCAGTAAGTCTCAATGAATACAGGATTGTCCCTGAATGAGTCATCTGTTTGCTGTCTGACTGAGCAGAGGCAGATAAATCGGAGACAAGGTTCCTGTCATCGGTTAGCAGGTTACCCTCTTTAGATTTCATGGTGGAAGGGACAAGAGAAATAGCTCCAGGGTTCCTGTCAGGCTTGTCTCTTGATAACCTTCTGTAGAGGATAAGATTTTCCTGGTCCTGAAAGATGCGTCACAAAGAGAGAGGAGAGAGGCTGCTTCCATTTCTGTCAGCTACGTGCACCTATCAGGCCTAAGGAAAGACTAGACCAAGGATTGGCAAACTCTGACTCCTGTTCACATCTGACCTACAGCTTGTTTTATAAAGGTTTATTGGAAAGCAGCCCAACTCATTTATTTACATGTTATTTATGGCTGCTTTCCTGCTATTTCAGCAGAGTTGAATAGTTATGATAAAGATATATGGCCCACAAAGCCTAAAATATCTATTATCTGTTCTTTTATAGAAAAAGTTTGAGGACTCCCGGTCTAGACAGGGGCAACCCAGGGACATTGCCTCTAGCTGTGCATCATCTCATAGCACACAGTCACCATTAGTAGGTAGCATATCCTCTAACTCTATATAATGGAATGGTGCACAGGCATCTCTACTAAGAAGCTCCTGCTGCAGCTCTGCACCGTTTAACAGCTCATAGGCGCCTCTAGTAGTGCATCATCCAGCTCTGTACCATCTTGTAGCATTCGGGGTCTGCCCCTTTTTGTCCTCTAGGTCTGTCTTTGATGGCCTAGAAATTTCTCCCTCACTGCGCTGAGACCCAGCTTTACTGCTGGTCTGGCCTGGTCTCCGTCTGAAATCTATTGAGCAATCTCTACATTCCAGGCACTGGGCCAGATCATTTACATACATTCATACTTTCATCTGAAACCGACTACTTGATTATTATCTCCAAGATGTAGAAACTGGACCTGAGCCTCAGAGAAACTAAGTGGCTTGCCTAAGGTTCACACAGATGTGAGTAATTAGTGGCATGGTCACCAAAACCTCATTCTACTCATGCCTCTTCCCATGGGGTGGTAATCTCGTCTTTTCTACACCTCATTGTGTTTCCACCCCCTTGTGTACACTTTGCTTGTGCTTTTATTTCCTTCCCTCTCTGACACCAAAGTAGGAAGATATACGCCCGACTCCCATGTTTGGCAGCCATACTGCTCCTTCCATGTGTCATGGCAAAGGTTATTGAAGTCTGTGACTTTATCTTTTGATTTTCAAACTATTAAAATATCCATTACAGAAACTTGGAGATGCAGAATTGAGCTGGCAAATGGTTCAAATTTATATGATAATAACTTCATCACGTGAAGTCAGGTTTTAATATTGCTGATGGGATTTTTTTTCTTTAGCTTGATCAACTTCATCAAGCAACATCCAGCATAACCCAATTTCTGCTCAGTGCCAGGGCTGACCTGGACCACCAATTGATTAAGCCTTTCCATAAATCAAACCTAATATTTAATAACACTGTCAAATAGAATATAGCGCTAATAGTTTAAATGTCAATCTTCACAGCTCATTGAGGCCTTTGAATAAATAGATGAGTAGCTTGTTTCAGACCCTGTGGCTGGAGATAGTATTTTTCAGAGGGAAGGAGTTTTTTAGGTCAGCATTTGGTGGTAACAAAAGGTGGTGTTTTCCTCTCAGTAAATATAGCTGAAGTCACAAAGTGTGAATGCAAATGCAGGAAGAAAATGGGCCCACAAATCTTATTTCCACCCCTGATCTAATGCTTGTCCTTGCACTAGATTGCATGTGGGCATCACCTCTTAGCACCAACATTTGCTCCCTTCCTCTTCCTTTCTGCTCTGTGACAGGGTTGCTCTCCTTGCACACAATCTCTGCTTAGTGTCAGGGACTACACCTGTGGCAGAGAAGCTGATCCCTAGAAGGATGGCAGTCTTCCACAGTAGGATCAGGAACTTTGGCACCCAGATAACCCTCCATTTGGAAAGGGCAAGGTAAGAAAGGTGACCTCATATGTGGCAGCTCCTAGTTCCATGGCATGCTGGAAATTCCTACTGAGGAGTAGGGCGAGGCTTATATGGTGGGCACTTCTTTGCACTTTTGGGATGCTAGATTCAAAGATCAAGAAAATTTGACCAAGATGATGGAAGGAGATGTAGACTACATAGCTACCTGTGTGGTGCAAAGCAAAAATACTGCTCTCTACAACAGCAAGAGCCCTTGTAGCCATGATCCAAGAAATTCTGTTATTTCTCTGCTTCCAAGTGAGTATGGATTGGGGATTTTGTAAGCCTCCTTCCCTCTCAGGCACTCACATTGGTGAATCATTCATGTCTGTATCTTTTGTACCTGCTCAAAAGACCCTATATCTATTTTGCAACTTGGATGGCATCTTCTCTTTATTCATTCATTTATGAACTTATCCTTTCAAGAAATGTAGTTTGAGTAGCATCTTCCTTTTAGGAGTTAGAAAATGTGTGTTTAAATTTTATGCTCAACCTAGTCTGTGGCTTTGAACAAGTATATTCACCTCGCTGTACCATCTGTGATACTTGAGGAAGGTCTGTCCAGATTAGTTGCAAGTATACCAATGTATAGGGTCTAAAGCATTCAATGTGGATTGTAGCACAAGGTATACATTCAGCAGGTGTCAGCAAACTATCTTAGCAACTGCTATATGTTAGAAAAAGATATTTGTTTGTTTGTTTGTTTATTTATTTATTTTCTGAGATGGAGTTTTGCTCTTGTTGCCCAGGCTGGAGTGCAATGGTACAATATCAGCTCGCAACCTCCGTCTCCCCAGGTTCAAGTGATTCTCCTGCCTCAGCCTCCTGAGTAGCGAGAATTACAGGCATGTGCCACCATGCCGAGCTAATTTTTGTATTTTTAGTAGAGAAGGGGTTTCTCCATTTTGGCCAGGCTGGTCTCAAACTCCTGACCTCAGGTGATCCACCTGCCTCAGCCTCCCAAAGTGCTGGGATTACAGATGTGAGCCACCGCACGCAGCCACGAAAAAGATTTTTTAAAAAAGGCAATAGCACTTAGTCTTTTATGAGGTGCAATTAAAATACACATGTAGTATCTATTTCATGAGTTTAGACAATTTATGCAATTCTGTAATAATCACCCAAAACAAGATACCTATTTCCATCACCTGTAAAAATTTTCTTTTGTCACTTTCTAGACACTTCTCCTCATCCCCAGAGAAAACCACTTACAGATTTCTAGCACCACACATTAAATTTACCTGCTCTGGTAGTTCATACAAATGGAATTATACAGAATATATGTATTTGTGTTTCCTTCTTTCACCCAACAAAACGTCTATGAGATTTACCCATGGAGTTGTGCATATCAGTACTTCTTTTTTGCGTGTGTGTGAATGATATTCTATTGTATGAACCTTGATTTGTTTATTTATTCTCCAATTAACATACACTGTAGTTGTTGCCAATTCAGGGCTACCATAAATATGACAATATGAACAATACTATACAAG